TCAAAATACTTTTCATTCCTCCCTAACAAACGTGTCATACAGTTATTCAATGTTATCCTGACACTGTCAAACTTGACCAATAAACACTGATTTTGCAGTGTGTTGACTATACATGTACATGGAGAAGATGTATCTCGAAACATACTTCAAAGTTGCCTCCATTTGGTGGATCTTGCAGGCAGCGAACGTGTTGATAAATCAGAAGTTACTGGTGATGGACTCAAAGAAGCACAGTATATAAACAAGTCGCTTGCTTGTTTAGGAGATGTTATCGCAGCCTTGGCACAAAAGAACTCTCATATTCCTTACAGAAACAGCAAGCTGACATTACTTCTGCAGAACGCTTTAGGTAGTTATACAATTAGTTTAATTCGACTTTTCCAATCCGTACAATAGCTTGTCAGCGTCTAATACTACACGAGTCATAATATTGGTGTTGATGATAGCATAAACACTTGATCATTATGCAATCCTCCCTTTACCTTTTTTACATGGTGATTACTTTAAGTTTCTGAGGCGGTACTTTTGATGTGGAGTATTAGACAACACATGATTCTTCACAAAGAACAAGATTTTAGCTTCATTTTCTTTATTAATACTGTCCTTTAGTGTCCTGAGAAGATCGTTCTTCACAACTACAATTATGTATATGATGTATACTGATCGTAGTTTCTTTATATGGAGCAGGAGGAAATGCAAAAACATTGATGTTTGCTCACGTGAATCCAGAAGGAGATTCTTTTGGAGAAACAATGAGTACTTTAAAATTTGCTCAGAGGGTCTCAACTGTTGAACTTGGTGCAGCTCGTGCAAATAAAGAGACTGCTGAGGTACTCGAGCTTAAAGCACAGGTAATTAGTCTTGAGTAGGTGAATGTTTGATACCATTTATAAGTTTGAATTTGGAGTTAGGATAATGTTTAAGCACACCGTCATTCATTTTGCTTAAACTTCTACAGATTGAAAATCTCAAGAAGGCACTGGCCAACAAGCAAACTGGGACTCCTCTGGTTAACAACTCAAAGGAGCCAGCTAGAACACCATGCAAGAAACCTAAACAAATGACTGACCGAACCCCTGTTCGTCCAAGAAGGTTAAGCATTGAAAATGCTAGCCACTTAGCGCTGGAGACAAAGAACTACAACGACACAAGGGGATCCAAAACCCCTTCCGTGAAAACGTGCTCTC